GTGTCTTCAAAACCTTTCAGGTATCTGGTACTTCAGTAAAAGATCCTATTCTGTTTTCTTTCATCAGACGTGAGCTATTTTCCAACCTGTTAGTGAACTTAAAGCCACATATTTGTAAGCAAATGTGTTTTGAGGTATTTATTTTGATCAGTGTTAATACCTGCTCAAGTAAATAAAAGCACAGGTATGTTCTGTGTCATGTCCTCAAAATGTGGAGTCTGGGAAGAAAAAAAATCAATATTAGATACTGGGTGGAGGAGGAGAGGGAGGGGAAAAAACCCTCCACGGAAAAGAACAGGGGGCCTAGGGAGGCAAATGTTTGCAGTGTGACAAAGGACTGCGTTTATGTTCAAGCCACCCGTGGGAGAGCAGCGTGCTTAGAGCAGTCCTTAGTTCTTCCAGTGTTGTCCCCCGTGACCTTGGCTGGGTGCTGGGTAGGGTGACTAATGGTTCACCACGTTCTTTTTTCCTGGTGACTTGCCTGTTGCCTGCCCCTGGGTTTGTGATTCCCCTTATGCTGACTTCTGCAGTATTCCTTCAGTCTCTTATCTCAGGGCTTTGATGCATATGTTCTGAAGGTGGCCACCGTGACTTTGGGTGGCAGCAGATGGTAAACCTTCAGGCTGCCACCGGCTATACTGGTGTTAAGTTGGAAACTTAACGTTTGATGAAGAATCAGTAGTGCATATGAAAGAGCTTTTACTGCAGAAATATCTTTTAATTAAAAAAAATTAGCATACTGAAACGTTTGCTAATTCCCGTGCATTTAAAGGATCCTAAAATTAACTGTTTTCTTAAAGCTAGACTATGGTTATTTACAAGGCAGGTTTTATTTTATTTTTCTCCAATTAATTGTACCTACTATACTGAATTGAATTTAATTTATTTTCCACTAAACTGTTGGATACAGTGTAAATCAAATCTAAGAAGCTAATTTTTTTAAGTAGCTGCTGTCAGCATCAGAATTAACCCTTGACTTAGGAAAAAAAATCACAAGTAGAAAATCCTGTTTGACATCACGGAGGGGTATTGCTCTCTGCCACTTCACTGAGGTGCTGCCACACAGCACTGCTGTGTTCACTTGTTTTTGGGGATGTGCCCGAGAGCTGAAGTGCTTGTACAAAGTAGTGCTGCTGGATGCACTTTATTTACATTATATATATATATATTTATTTGTGGCAGTTGCTGTTTGCCAATCAGTGTTTTTAACCACGTTGAGGTTGTAAACA